AAAACAACGAACACACTTCGAAATACTTTAGTTCGCTTAAAAGAAAAACTCGTCTTTACGTCAGCACAGAATTGCGTCTACAAATTAGGATATGTCGATTGTGATGTCTTTTATATTGAAGAGTCATCTCGCGAAACCTTGACTCGAGTCAAAGAGCATTTGAAGTACACAAGTAAACCACCTAACAACCCCGTAAAACTGGATAGACTTCAAGTTAAGCCGTTAATAACAGTTCCCAACGTTTCCGACGAACTCCAAATCCATTTCAAAAACATCAAAATGTTACAAAATGGCTTTTCCAACTACAAAGAAAGGGGAATAGCTGAAGCGTTCAATATAATGCTGAATCCTACTGCTGTCAGCAGAAAAAAGGCTTTACTATACATCTTACTTGAACTATATATCCTATCCACCAAGTCTGATATTATTCACAATTCACACTACTATCGTACAAATTAAACTCTATCCTTTCTCACCATAAGGGTCACATATATATTTATCCTCGACCTTGCACACATACACACGAAAAAATTTACACATATGTCACTTATGAATCAGCTTGGCCGAAATAACGTGACATTGATATATTTAGACTTGTTTTTTGATTAAACACACATAATATTCTTGCGTTGTTCGTTTGTACTATGAAGAGTTGGATTAATATTGATCTCATTATTTATTCTTCAGAGAAGCAGCTTATACTAAGTTATGAAACGCCAGAAAATTTAATGTTTCTACTCACTGAGATACAACAAATATATTAATTTATTTAATCCTTAAAAGCTCATATTCGAGTCCCGACACTACAATAATAGGATCAGTAACCAGGCGAAAAAAACCGAAAACACAAATGTGATATCAGGGTAAGTAAAAATATTGTGTACTATATCACGTAGGGCTCATCGCCAAACGTGCCACGGATATTCGGGCTTCGACAAAGCTTTTGTCTGCAGCCTCTTCTTAATTGGTAAATCCAAAACCCAGTAAAATCAGGAGCCAGGATTGCAGGAGTCCGAAGATATATTAGGAAGGTTATCGATATGTTGAGAAACGTTTGATCCAATCTGGCTAGTCGCTGTGAGGGATACGTAGCACTACGTATGAGGTTGTGATCTGATGTGGATACGTGACTGAGTGCCTTCAGCTATGGTGTGTCCATTGAAACCATTGAGGTCAAGATCAACGTCGGGGACTTACAGAGCTGTTCATTTCGAGGATTTATTTGTTTTTACTTGTTGAACTACTCACACTGGATGGTGCCAAATACGTGGAATAGCACCGTAACATCAAGAAGCGAGGGAAGAGAAACCAATGCTTTTATACTCCATCACTATAAAGATATCGAAAATTATCTCTACTTGGGATCCTAACCTTATGATTTTTTTATTGTTGCCATGTAGTCGACTGTCTCGTAACACGATAGCTACTAGTTCCATAAATTCCATTGCTCTAAGACAAGGAAATCCACTTATACCCAATTCCCTAACCTACTAATATACATCAAATTCACTAGAACTAGTACGGTCAAGTAACTAGATTGTTCATAATGGATAGTACCATGGCTCCGGAATCATAGATTAACATAACGACCCAAGTCGTCTGGTTTACACTAGTTCTTCGAAATAATGATAGATATATTGGGTGTTAAAACAAAAATGCACAAAAGCTATTTTATGTTGGACGACAAGATATCAAGTATTGTGTTTTACCTCTTCTCCCAACACGTTTGAATAGGACGAAATGTGTTTTCTTAGGTGAATTAATATCGTGACCCATATATAGTTTATCCGAAGCTTCCAAGCTGACCTTCATTGTTTTGTCGCGTGATTACTGAGACAAGCTGTGATTTCTCGGACTTTGAATTCTTTAGGTTTGTTTTCTTACTAAATCAGTGCAGTGCTCAGCAAACTTCCCCAAAAATACAGCACATTTTTCTCCTAAATAATGTCGACACGCGGTAATTACGCCTTGTCCGACTTTATAAGACTGGAGAAAATCGGCGAAGGTATTCCTAGGTTCTCGTAACCGCCTTGTCTAGGAACATACGGAGTGGTGTATAAATGTAAAAACAAAGTTAACGGTAAATTTGCTGCACTTAAAAAGATACGTCTCGAAAATGACGAAGAGGGTGTTCCTTCGACGGCTATTCGGGAAATATCACTCCTAAAAGAATTACAACATCCTAACATCGTGAAGTAAGTATTCACGGGTATCCGTTTATGCTCTTAAGTCTCGAGCAGGTAATCATGGAGAATGGAAGACTATACTTGGTTTTTGAGTACCTAAATTTGGATTTAAAACGCTACTTGGATGACAGTGGAAGAAAAAACTTACTCGAACCTGGTATTGTTAAGGTAAAATGCTACAGCAGTTGACTTTTTAGAGCTTCATGTATCAAATGCTGCAAGGTCTATTGTTTTGTCACGGCAGGCGAGTTATTCACAGAGATCTAAAGCCCCAAAATATCCTGGTTGATATTGGAAGAAAAATTGTCAAAGTTGCAGATTTCGGTTTGGCTCGTGCTTTTGGAATTCCTGTTCGTGTACTAACTCATGAGGTATGCATTTGTGTAGGCATACTTTCAGTTAACTTGGATTTAAGTCAAGTATCCAAATTGTATACTAACTATGGTTCCATCTTGATGAGAAAATATTTTCTTATCTTGTTTTATTGGGACATTGGTTAGTGTCATAAATTCTGGTGGCACAAGCACCTGGGTTCAAAAGGTGATGTCAAAAGTGATTAAGATAGTGCGAAATGTCGTCTTTGAGCTATGATTAAGGCGGTCCCGATGTTTGTCATCCGACCGATCTTGGCGTATAATTTGCCGATGAACAGTACTAAAGCTCAGATTCATTGAAGCATCTTTTCCTGGCAAATCTAAAAATCACTGTATTGAATGGCATTTCAGTTCCAGGTATGTCGCAAATGTTAGACATGCTTCCTACTGATTGTGCAAAAGTCCTAGTAAAAGTTTGGTTCGGAGGTAGCGCTTAACAATCTTATTGGCATAAACCAGTTAAAACCTTCCAAAGCAGGTGTATGGGATATCTTCAAGACTAGAAAATAGTCAACTTAACCTTTATTGCTCTTTGGATATCATCTATTTATTTTACAGAAGTTAATACAAGGATGACGTAGAAAAGAATAATGTAGTTGCATAATATTCTCCCGGAGGTGTTTAAAAGTAAGATCACGAACTATTATACATACTGTGGTGATTTGGACATGTCATCTACACATGAAAAGCACAAAACTTGGCATACATCTGGCTCAGAACAAGTCACATTTATCACAGCTTTGGAAATCAGCCAGGCGAAAAGCAAACAGGCTCACAGGTAGTGCATATTTGCCAAAGCCATACGAACGCTCAGCTACCATCCCAGGATCTCTCGTAACAGGCTCGCCCATGTGATTAGTTATTGGTTATTCGGCGTTCTGTAGAATATGAGTTCAACATCCTAAAATGATTTGGTGTTTGCTGCATTTCAGTGAACGTTTTATTTCAGGTATTAACTTACGCATCCCATGGCATCCACATAAGTGTATTCACCTGTCAGAGAGTGTAAATGGATATCCCTACATCTGAACGTGTTCTCTGTGATTGACTGTTTTTTATAGATTGCGTGCATATCACTGGTATGAAGGCTTTCTCCTCTGCACCTTGTGACATGGACATAGGCATAGGCACTTTCTCAAGGAGAGTTGATGTTCACCTCCGTTTGGTATCTGCTGCTACATTTTTTCATTATGATTTCAGCCTGTAGAATTAGGTCGTTGGTTTTATTAGACCAAGGGCTGACATTTTTTCAGCTTATATTCTTAGTGATGACCGACGCGGGTACCCATTCCATATGTCTACATGCATAGGTTACATCAGCCAAGACTCATGGGATTCATATACATAAGCTTACACATTGGGCAATCCATCACGATTTTTGGAGCCTCAAAAAACGAACTTCGAGTAATCAAAGTTTAACACAGAAGAGAGGAAGATTAATTCGATTTCCACCGATCACCCAAACTAACTAGCAAGGTTGCCCTTGCTGCCACGTACCGCCATGTAGAGGCTTTGAGTCGGGTTTTGCTTCCAGGATTATTGGCACATCTCTTATCACCTTAGCGACTGTCACCTACGCCTCCCTGTTGTTCGTAAACATTCGTTTGTTTATATTGTCCATGCATACCATTAGTGTGCACATTTCATAGTCTTTCCTATTTCAACCCACTAATTTCCTGTTGGATAATGAAGTGGCTGCCGATTCTCACAAGTCTACCCTCAAAAATTCACCTTTTACAACATACCAAATATAAACCACCGCCCAAATGACTGCGGTTGACCGGCTTAAAGATGCCACGGATATTCGGGCTTCGACAAAGCTTTTGTCTGCAGCCTCTTCTTAATTGGTAAATCCAAAACCCAGTAAAATCAGGAGCCAGGATTGCAGGAGTCCGAAGATATATTAGGAAGGTTATCGATATGTTGAGAAACGTTTGATCCAATCTGGCTAGTCGCTGTGAGGGATACGTAGCACTACGTATGAGGTTGTGATCTGATGTGGATACGTGACTGAGTGCCTTCAGCTATGGTGTGTCCATTGAAACCATTGAGGTCAAGATCAACGTCGGGGACTTACAGAGCTGTTCATTTCGAGGATTTATTTGTTTTTACTTGTTGAACTACTCACACTGGATGGTGCCAAATACGTGGAATAGCACCGTAACATCAAGAAGCGAGGGAAGAGAAACCAATGCTTTTATACTCCATCACTATAAAGATATCGAAAATTATCTCTACTTGGGATCCTAAGCTTCTATTGCGTTCACTACTATTTGAACGATTTTGTATCCGATGTCATAGGATGAGTCTGAAAATATGTGACATTCCTTAAAAACAAAACCTGAACACACAGTACTGAAATAATGATGCTGAACGAATTCAAACTGAATTCAAGCAATTAAGTAAAATGACTTGGCACAACAATTCTTTCAAATAAAATTGAAAGCTGAACTTCATTGAAGTTGTTTTGTTCGTCTCGATTATTGGTGCATTTGAGACGTTGCGTGACTGATGTTCGTGTATCTGCAGGCTATAAATATGGTTGTTTAGGGTTGCAAACATATCGTAACTTGATGTTGTGTCGGGCTTGGTCTCCAACAATGCATCCCATCTGATAACTGGGTAGTAATGAACTGTGATCATGTGGTGGTACGCGAACAATACAGTCGTTAAGCTATGATGAGCCACAACGTAAGTAGGTTTTATTGTTGTGATGATTTTACAGACCTGTATTGAGTACACTACATGTAACAAAAACTTTCTGAATGTTCCGGTTATATATGATTACTGGATTTCTGTTTTCAGGGGATGTGCACGTTTGAGTGAACTGGCGACAATCGTGTGGTTCCGCCCAAGAGACCAGGTAAGTTTTTATTTGTGATGATTTACACAGACCTGTATTGAATACACTACATGTAAAAAATGTCTTCTGAGAATTTTAGCTTAACTTTTGTTTCTGACTTTCTGTGTTTCCAGATCATATTTGGCTCGCCTGGCGACTCCCATGTGGTCACGTTGAGGTTTGTTTGGTTTGTCAGCATATGCGTTTGTTTTAGCGCAACCTGTACATGCTTAAATGGTGTGTAAATAAATCTGTTGATTTGATTTCTAGCTTCTCTGTTACAAAAGTCCAGGTTAATTGCCTTGACGTCCGCCTAGTTTCTATCGCTTGACTCTGTGTAACGTCTTCAAAATTTATCAGCGGATGGAGTAAACATTCCCAGTTAAGATACTTTGAGGGAGCAAAACCAAATATTGGTGCGTAGTATTTCGAACTCGCTTTACTTCTCTAGGTTCTCATCAGCTGCTCAAAGTAGCTACGGATATTGACATACAAATACGGTGGTCAGAGATAAATATGTGTATCATGATGTATAGCGTATTCCGATCGAGTTAATAACGCTGTTACGAATCCCTGCTTCGGCCGAGTAGGTGACGTTTAAGAGGGGAAATTCCAAGATGTAGATGCTGGAACCGGTATTTATAACGATGGCCTAAGTGCTTTAAGGTGTTCGATTTTTACATGGTAACGAGATCTGCTCGGAATCGCATCCGTACTTTGATATGATGATACTATACAATATCAGCGCCAAGTATTTTGATTATCTCTGCTGTAATCGGTATAGATTCCACTGTTCAGATTAAATCCACAGATTGCAGCTTTCCTGATAAACTACCTATCAAGTTGTCGATGGAGAGATGATGATTAGTCACTCAACGGGTTATATCAAAATAGCACATACTAAGAAAGTTGTGCTGTGGTAGCTACGCACAAATGAAGAGTATTCAGCTAGCAAAGGTAGTAAATGTCTCGGGAGCTTTAAGCATACTATACATTGAGAGTCACGAGGTATACCCATTGGGAGATGTGGGAACATTCATGAGTATCCATGGTGAATGACAATATCGTTTAATCTTTATCAGAGATTAACTTGCACGACAGCCTGTTTTATAAGCACGTGTATATTTTCTTTATAAATAGATCAACCGGGACATGTGGGAACTGCTGTAAGCTAATGTCTGAATGGTCTATTCTCCATGTCCCGAAATCGTTCGCACCTTAGTATTCCGAATAAAGGTATAGGAGCTAAATGCAACCCTTTAGTTCTCATATGCCATACTTGGCAAAATTAAAATAAGTAGACTCCCAGGAGTGTTGCGCACTGAGTCAAGTTGTTTCTTACTGCTGAAATTATACTTGATCAGTCAATTTTCGTCTTCAAAATCCATTTTATGTGAATTTTCTCCGGCGGTTATACATTTACCGAAAATTCTCCATCGAAAAGGTTAACTTCCACAATAAATTAATATGAAAGATCTGGCTTTACTAGATGATATTTATTTATTGACCGCTAAACTGTATCTTTCGTATTCTAGCCTACTTTCTATATTATGAAGTACACCTGCAATGAAGATTATCAATATTACATCACTTACCACAAGGACCCACCATTTGATATTCTCTTTCAATAGATACATGCAATTAATAAAAGAACTATATGTAGAGTTATTAAGCGAAGCAGAATTATATAAAGTACAAGATATGGGAAGTCCATTTCATACATACATTGTAGCATTAATACAAGTTTACCATGTCCTTCGTATTTTCCATGGAATTCTGCAGTGAGATATAGTACGCTACTTTTACAAGAAATAATTACTAATAAAAATCCCTTGGTTGTACCGTACTGGAAATTTATCCCTATATCAGACAAAATATACAGAGATCCCTGTTATGGTCATGGACTGTTCGATAGTAATAACAATGATGAATATTTACTTCACAACTTCCGCTGTACTCACGTCGCCATTTTTTCTGTTATCGCATTTGTGGTTTCAAAACAGAAACATGAACCATACAGGAAAGAGCGGTAATTGGATATTTATAAGTGTTATTTGAACGAACTTCCTTAATACTGTACTTCTCTACTCTATAATATGATGAAATATACACTTAGTCCATGTTGGTAGTTCATTATCTTTCGTTTATTTATTAATGTAACGTGTGACAACTTTTGTTTTCAATTGTTTTAGCAAAGTCATTTGGAGTCCCACAACTATGATGTCAGTGCTAAATTGAGTTTGCCGAATAATCCAAATATAGAAACAGACGAATTGTCTGGATACTTAGATATAGTATCATATTCGGTATCTTTGTAATCGATGACCGAAGGCAAATGAATCAAGCAAAGGTTAGAATATAAATGTTCCTGAATTTATATTTAAGTGATTACATAAATTATCATTTGTAGCAGTGATGCACGATCAACGTATGATTGAATTTAATGGATACAACCGAGCTAGGATAATAGTAGAATTACATTAACACAAGAAGTAGACCTTGTAATTTGACTGATAATGACACTGGTTCTTAGAATCACCAGGACTTGTATTAGAATACAAATAACACTAGTAATAGAAAGTCCAGCAATTGTATTGAACTGAAAAAAACCAAGACTGCATTAGTCCGGTTTAATCGAAATGAATACAAACTGTCCAGAGTATCATTTAATCAACACGTCTCAATTAGTTACACATCAATATGTTAATGGTATATGACTAACTAACAAATTGATAGACAGACAACCAGACAAAAAATGATGGGAAGATTCACATAAAAGGCATTTGCGTTAATCACACAGCTGAGCACAAGTTAACCAATAGAATTGAATTAGTCCATTAAACGATTACATGCTCAGATAGTTATTGTATTTCAAAATGGACATACAATTATGTTCATTTGACATATCTGTATGAAATACCATAGACGCCTGATGATATTACCCGGTCTGTCCAACCGAAGTAGGTGGAGCGCGCATTGGACCTGTTAATTAGTGGTTGGAAGTTGAATGCCTTGACTACCAAGCCAACTCAAGCCGCATAGTGGGTTGGCTATTTGCAATGCCGTACTATTCAGTTGCTTTGTGCACTTGGACGGTTTGCAAAAAAACAATTATAGCAGGATATCCTCAATTCACTTTATTTCTGGGATTATTGTCAAAGTAACAAAACGTAGTGACCGGATGGAGAATCAATCAACGTAGAGGTGCACAGAACAAGCTGTGAAACACATAGAGAAATTCGAATACTCCACTTCTATCTGAAGTTTGTGCTGATGATGTCGTTCAGAAGAACGATGAAAGCTTCACGACCAAACCATCCAGTTCAGAGAACAAAACTCCATCAAGATCATCCACCTGAGCTACAAATCTCCACCAACCGATGTAATAATGCACAGCTAATATCGGTGGGTGTGATTACTTTCAATAACGGATGCTATAATTATGTTTCACGTATATGAAAACGTTGGAAGTGTCCTAAAAACGTAAAAGTGATAAAATGGAAATCGCCTGAATCCACGAGATATGAGCATGGACTACCCAAAAGCTGTTAAAATGTTTGAGGGATTTACACAAGTTTAAGAATTAAGTGAGTGAAATCACAAAACACAGGTTTTGACCAACCACAAATACCTAGAAGAGGATTTTTATTGAAAGACGGTGGCGCAATCAGTAAGCTAAAAAAAAGCCTATTAGGAACATAAACATTTTGGATCGCATCTCTTCAGTGATTCCCACCAGTAACACTGAACAGTACAGCCGAGTGAAGAAAAACCTTGACATTCGTAGAAATGCAAACACTGTTCGTGAGAACGGCCTTTGAATGTCTAATTTGCAAAGTGACAAACTATCTAATAATAACTGTTGGCTTCAGGTCCGAATGTATTTTTGAATATTTTATTTGGTTAGGTGAATCCGTGACTCTTGTTAAAACGAAATCGCAAGCCCGGAAATGTAGGGTACAGATGTATTCAAATGGTGAGTTATTTTTCAATTCACTGCCAAAGCTTTAAGCATCCAAAAACATAGTTTTTGTCCAACAGCTCTTGATATGTGAAGAATAAATTCACGGATGTAATCAAACGCTCATAAACAAAATCTCTTCTCTAATCTTGCCATCTTCAACAGGAAGAGAAGAGAAAGTTCTGACCTATGAAACAGAATTAAGTCACCATACGACCGCAGGACAGTAGTAAAAATTGTGATGGTCTATGGAATCAGGTTCATTATCGTCACTCTTGTTGCTATACAGTTGAGTCAATAAACACAACTGTTGCTTACGAGATTCATACTTTCTGTATATTTTGTTTTGTTTAGTGGATATCCGCAACGAACACTAGTACATTTGTTCAGGTCCATTAATTATTTCCATTTATATCCCAATCACTTCGTTTAAGTTGACCTGTGCCCCGAAAATTAGCTACTACATGTATATATTAAAACAAGCCTGTGCTTAAAGTGGATATAATTAACTTTTTTCGTCTATCACGGGTGAAATTAGGGTTGTCTATTGAAAATTATTCCATATGGTACAGCGTCTACCATAACTTTTACCACTTCTAGACTATCAGTTACACATAACAAGCTGAAATTATGTGGTGTAGAGGAACAGGAAACTGTAGGCAGTACGAACTTCTGAATCTGTTCAGATACTTTCAATACAAAACCCGTGACAACACAATTAAATAGAACTATTGTTACATGATAAACATATGAATCTAGGTGCTTATACTGGACCGTATTTAAGTTCAACAGTAGAATATGTATTTAATTCAATTATTCGACCCAGTGAATCATCATAAAGCCTAAGCGACGTCTGGATGGGATATCTTAGGTTACGGATCGGTACTAAACTATTAGAACGCACATGAGTTAGACAGCAGAAAAGACAGGACAAAAATATGTTTGACGTTTTATTCGTAAAAATTATTTTTTGAATAATTAGGAAACAGAATGGAATAACGGAAAGTAAATGAACTTGTGCCTTGTGAACGATTCCAAGTTGCCTAAAGTCGCCAACTATTGGCTACAACGACTGCACGGACTTGAGCCAAGTAGTTCGGCGCATCCACCTGTACAACACAGTACAAGAGTCAACGAATTTACGGGATGATGACATAATTTGGTCGAGTCGTCCCTGACGTTTTTCCAACTAACTTATACCATCCATCATGACGGATCAAGAACGGTGGTACTTGGACACGACTTAAATATCTTAATCTGTAAGGATTCACCACCTTATCTATCGCTTTGGCATTCTTACCTACTACCCTGAGTCCAACTTCCGCACTGCCCAATTGGTAGTCTCAAAATATATAAGAGATCTGTGATCAAATACTAGTGAGATACAATATTGTCTATTTCCAAAGGTCACGGTTCACGTCCGTAAACTAAGTCAAGTGTAAACTGTAGAGCAGCATGTGAGAAAGTGGATTGAATTCTATAAGAATTGTTTCACCTGGAGAACAAACATCAGGTCAGAATTTATTGAAACAAGTGATAACCTCAACTGTCTTCCAAAGAACTTATAAAGAAATTCAGATTTGTCACTCAAAAAATATGCAATATAGCAAGCGAGTAAAACTACTTGCCGGTTGCCATGATATACTACTACAATACTATAATATGACCGGGATTGAGGTCCATACTACTACTAGGTTAGATAGTCTACCGATATGCATTATGCAGACTGGATCACATCACAGCAAATACACGACTCAAGACCAAAAATAGAACCACAGCATTGACTAAACATTATACCATAAGATTACAAGCAGTCTACACTCAGTTAGCCCAGTGGAAAAATCACTACGCACAATTGGTTCCCTTTATGAATTTGAATAAAGCCAGAATAACCTAAGTATTAAATTTCAACATATATATGGTTGTGAGTAACTGATGGGGAACAACGAAATATAATGAACCCACACTATATAGTGTAGGTGATGGCACAAAAACCCCGAAATTTCCCCAAACCTGGGGAAATTCCCCAATATTTCCCCGAAATTCCCCTTTGACTTTGGTTAAGGTAATTTGACTTTGGAGATTTCCCCAAACATTGGTGAAGGTCATTTGACTTCAGGAGTTTCCCAAAATAAACCAAATTTTCCCCAAACTTGGGAGCTCGGGTGGATTTGAATGGGCAGTTCCCATATTTGACTTTCCTCCTACTGAAATGTACAATCACTTTAGGCTTGTCACATATTTCGCGCAGAGCGCATTTATAAGTTGCATATATTTCTTCATTATTAGTGAACACTGATTCTAGAAGAGTATATGAACGAGTATGGAACTAGACTATGTTTCGGCGACAAAGAGACAAAAGAAATCTACAATTACACTTAATAAGATTAAAACATAAGATTGGGTGAGAACCATTGGAATCAGCAGAAAATTCATAGAAATCGCCAACAAGGACAAATGATACGAAGTGGGAAAAATTGACGTGCTATGGGGTTTATTTCTGTATAGTCTCATTGGAAACGTTGTGTTAAGTATAAGAAGAAATCCAAAATTCACTTAGGTTTAGGTTTTTGCAAGAAATAAAAACTAATTTTAACCGGAAATTTCTATTAAACTTGGGGAATCATTCTGGATTTCCAGAGATCTCTAAGTTTCTACTCGAAACCTTCACGTTATGTCCACACGGCTGACGCCTATTTTTGTCCATGAATTATGTTTTGTTAACAACCGCCATCCTTATAAAAACACAGCTGTCTTGCAGTTACTCCAGTAAATCTTAGTAGTTGATTATTTAATCCCCCTTTTCAATATCATTACATATGATAATCAACAAGTTAATAAACGTGATGAAAATTGTTTTTCGAAATACTTTTTGGTCTATCATTATAAATATGTATCACCGCAGTTTCAGTAGTCACACTAAAGATATGTAATGTAATTCCTAGCGATTTTTAGATTAAACAAGGTCTGCACACTAAAAAATATTACTCGTGTATCTACAAGTAGCAGATCAGAGAAACGGCTAGAAGACCATTAATTCGATTTCACTGCCCATAATAAGTCAACATTATCAATAAATCATTATTATACATGTGTATACACCATGTTTATTCGTATTGTAAACCATAAAATGAAAATTCTAATAACCACGAACCCACCTGCGTGTG